AAACATTTGTAACCATGACTTCTTGAATCATCGTTTTTATACACAATCTACTTCATTATCTGAAATTATTACAAGAACTTAAAACTATTCGTGTTACATTCTCCTTCAATCTGTCAGCACAAAAGTCTGATCAATGCTAGTAAAAACATACACATACTAATTTCCACGTGAAACAATACTGTAGCATACCTGTAAAGTGAATACTTATTTAATTTGATATCTAATCCAACTGATGAGATTGTCATCTTGATTATATTTGTGTGAATTTGTTGTGTTCATCATAAGATCGTGAGGATATACATTATTTACAGACATTTTTGTAGTATGAAATCGGTAATTCCACATAGACCTATAAGGCTAAGATATATAACATACTATTTTGTGATATTGAAAAAAACACATTCAAACACATTTGCTTATGAAAGCAAAAATGAATTCTCCCATATTATGCGCAAAAATAATAGTTTTCTAGTGATGAGATAGACTTTGAAGTTCATTTTGTTTTCTCTTAATATGTAAGGTGAAAATGTATTCCAATTATATTGTTAATGTCCTCTGTGATGTACATTGCAGAGAGCATGAATGGACTCGTGTATTGTAAATTATTTTAGCAGCTGATTAATTATAATGAATTTAGAAAGTCATGCAGAATTTTGTGTTTTTTACATACAATTTATCCAACTTTGTAAGGTAAGGGTTATTAGAACAAAAACGGTTCTAAAATACATTTGTTCATGTACTCATAATAATCCTTTGCATATAGTACACGCAGGGCTTAAATTGTTAAGTAGATAATGAAAGAGTTGAAAACATTAAACGACATGCGACAAAACAATGGATTACTTGATAATAACATGAAATCAAAATGATTGAAGTGTAATTAAATATTGCAAGGATATGTCAGTACTGAGGATAATGTTTCGCCATATTTCTTATTTATTTATAAAATTAATGTTATCGTGGCAACAAATGTTATTGTGATGAATGCTTATCTACGACCATCGTACCGATTTATATGTCCATGACAAACGTTAAATTCTCCTGAAAGATTAGATACAAACTGCACGAACAACGTTACATTTACACTAAGTTTTATGAACATTGTGTATACAAACATGATATTTGATGATAGGTATTCTATAAATGGAAATGAGTCTCAAGAAGATTATATGGAGACAGTCATATAGCTGCCAAACCTTAAGTATTTTATTGCCCGACTGAATGAAATGTTATCTGATTGTACATCACTGTACTGTACTAATATTAATGAGCTCGTTATAAAAAGAGCACAAATTTGTTTTGTCTAGTATTCAGGGCACCTGTGTCATCCTGCGGTAATCATATCTATATAAAAAAAAAGTCTTTATTTACGGTCGTCATTGATGTTTGAACATTATGTATGGATGAATGAGATAATGTATTTTTGCAAACGGAAGAGAAAGCTACCGAAATGGTAAATATGAAGAAAAAACAACACTGTTTAAGCATGTTTTTATTTCATTAGTGTTTGAATGTTCCTTTGTTATTAAATCTAATGGGTCGATTTAATAAGTTTTCAAGTTATCATGACTCGTTCCATTATATTGTGTAATGTTCTCGTGGGACATGCCTTATACAGTAATGAGAAATCATGAATTTCTTGTGAGTCATAAAGAATCGGCCAAATATTTGAAGAAAAAGAAAAAAAGAAAACAGAAAAAAAATCCCCAAACATCTTAGATATATTTTAAGTTCTGACGTATAATAAGCGACATAAATTTGTATGGTTAATAACGAAATTGCCCGATCTTGAGATGACTGTGTCTGTTAATGTCATAGATATGTTATAGATGTGTCGTACAATGTTGATGATTTGTCAGTATGTGTGATTTCTTGTGGATGATGGTCAAATATATAATGCTAATATCAAAGGATGATTAACGGGCATTTTATCTAGTGATGTAAGATATAGTGTCCAGCACTGGTCATCATTGTAATCGCATTGTGTAAGAAACTGTAGCTAGAAGTTATTCTGAATGGTTGATCATAAATCAAATGAAAAGAATCATTAAGTATGAGATGTTGGCATCATCGAATTACAAATTTATACCACATCATTTTTAAAATCCCAAACCTTGAAATGTTTTAATACAAAACAAGCATGTGGCATACAAAATTAGTCTTGAGTTGTGAAACTGTTCAAGTCAGATATCAAGTCTTAGATCATTACAAGAACAGTAACTATGATCATGAAAATATATTTAATCTTCACCACAACCAACCTCTTTAAGAATGTAATTCATCCATTTGCATCGACCATGTTAACGCATAGATGCATAGAATAGTCCAAAGCCACAACTCGCTCCTTTCACATGCCATACCACCCGATTCCATTAAGCATCTATTCAAGATAACAAACAAGAGAGGGATGAATTATTTAGTAGGGTTGCGTGTAACAAGGAACGTCCCTACGTTTGGGATAAAATGGGAACAATTGTGAATATTGATTGCATTCTTGTGTGTTTCTTTCAATCGATTTTAAACGTAAATATACATTAAGAAAGAGACTCCCCTTCTCGTCACTAAGGAGTTTATTACCCGGGGAGGGGAGGGGGGTGGTCACGTGAGCTTCATGGTGGTGTAATAACAGTAAAACCTGTATTTGTATGGTCACCTGCATACAAAGACCACCGTATAGCGTCACTTCGTCAAGGGCGGATCCAGGCGGAGGGGGGGGGGGGGGGGGGGGGCTAACCATCACGCACCTCTTGAGGTTACATGGTAAACATCGAGATCAATGGAAAGAGTGACCCCATTATTATGGCACCTGCGGATTATTCAGACCCCATCAAAGCACATTGAAATGGGTCCATTAACCTTAATTTCCTTCACTTTTTAGTTTTTTACCATTTATTTCATTTGTTGTGCTCTGCTTTATTTATTTGTCAGAGATTCTCAGAATTTTGCTACCCCTGACCCCTACCAGAGAAAGGTGGATCCGAAACTGATGGTTCTCATTTTTAGCCACTGCGTTTGGGATTTCCATTCTCATACCTGGGTCTTGTTTCATAAAACGTTTTATCTATAACAAATGCTACATTTCTATGACAAATTTGCTCTCAGCCAATCAGATGCCAGGATTTCAGTAGCTTATAACAGTAGCTTGTAACTTGTTATTGATATCGAGTTTTATGAAACAGGGTCCTGATTCGTATTTAATAAATACTGATGGTGATGCCTGGTGATGATGATGAAGAAGAAGATGAAGATGAAGACGCATTGCCATATTTCTGTGCGGCAGTTTATTTCGATATAAACAAATAAAACATCTTCACATATCTATGTTTAAATCATTAGCAATCTCCAAAAAATAGTGCAAATTGATGAAGTAGAAAAGACAAGTGCATGATCAAAATGGTAAATATTAAATCTTATAAATATTCGGCATATGAAAAATGTAATATATAATCTTTTTTGTATCATGTATTTACATCATAAAATCTAAACATTTTATTTCAAAGTGGCAAAGCTATAAGGAATTGGTGGTGTACATGTAATAGTGCTATCATTATTATTGTTCAGATTACTTATTTTTTTCTCCTCACTTCTATCCCCCTCTAATGAGCGTAATTTGGGATGTTGAGAAATTGTTTTCCCTAGATGGAGAAAGAGTTACCCATTACTACATTTTTTTCTTGATTTCAGTTTGACCGGCCCCTTTAAAACAATCCTCGTCGTGTCAACACTAATCGTTCATGTACAGGTGTAACATTATCTGTACATACTGAAAAGAAATGTACAACACTCCGATGAAGCATAATTCTTTCATTCAAGTTATAACGCGCGATAAAGAAGTATTTACATAAAACATATTTTTCATGAATAATATTTTGCCCCAAAATAAATAAACTTCAAAAGATCATCATATTAATGAATATACATAAATATATAAGTCCATCATCATTCGAAAACAAATAAATTAATTATGAACAAACAAAAACTGGTATTTATCACAATGTTTATCAACCTAAGTCAACTTTTGATAAAGAATCATGCTCCTTTGAATTTCCGACGTCTTCATTCAGTCAGTCAATTCTCCATTACTTGTACATACAATGATAATTCATGGACTAAAATAAACAATATCAACATGGGCCATAAATATACAATATAAGAAAGCCAAGTACACATAATCACTTGATCTTGTTGACAAGTTGCCTATACAAACCAAAATATTATTAATTATCCTTCAACTATTACATCAGACTCTCAACCTCCTTGTTTTCACTGTATTCATGGATATGCGTAAATGGCATCAGTAGAGAGGTATTTAGGAAAAAAAGGAAAATTGCGCCGTTATATCAATATTTCTTATATGATCCTACATTAATGTAGTGACTATTATTCACATCGAAATAGTCAGTAACGTTTTTTACGAGGTAGCTTCGTAAGATAGTGACTTCATCAAACGGTTTTAGAGTAAAGTAAATCGGCACTTTTGATTCCAAGCATGCATACCGACTAGTATTTTACGAGCAAAATTGATATCAATTGTCTACTTGGAAAGGCCTCTGTATGTAACCCTGTTTCCACACAATACAATATAATCAGAAGATATCTTGTTTTCGTCTTTGTCTTCTAAAAAGTTTGACAATATAGATTTATATTTTTGATGACTATAAAAATTGCAATTTACATCCATTTTTAAAAAGCATGAAGTCAAGTTAAAAATAAATGGATTACACCAGGTCTATGATTACATACATGATATACATTTACACAAAAACCCGGTAACAGTGATCTTGTATTAGCTAATCGGGAATAGGCACGAGTATACAATTTCTGTATGAACGTTATTTACAAGAACATGTCTTTCAAATATGGTTTCAAAGATTCCGAATTATAAAGATGATTTATATCGCGTTAACAGATGAAATAAATGGCACAGTTTGTTTTACAGAGTTGCGAGAACAAAATTGGTATAAGTAAACCAATAAGCATCAACGCCAGATAAATCGAACATAATGTCATCCGGATATTATAGCAAGATATGCCCCTAGAGGCCTAGAGTTTAGTCAAGTCTGATTGTGCGTTGGCTTTGTTGATCGTCTCCGCTGCCATGACGTCACTTGACCCCTCCTGCCGATTTCCTGATGACCCCTCACCAGACGACGATGACCCTGCCTCGTGGGTGCCATGTCGGGCAATATTCCAGTCCGAGGCTTCGAGGGCGTGGTTGTCATACTCGGTCATCGTTGGCTTGTGCATCTGAGTATGAAGAGATGGGACCTAAGACCAAAAAGACAGATAAATCAAAAACATAGGCGTAGCTGGGGGGGGGGGGGGCAAATGGGTGGGGGCAAATGGGTTGGGGCAATGGGGGTGTAAAAGGGTTCTCGTGTCCCATTCCTCGTAGCTACGCTAGCAGGATAATCGTTCTTGTAATCATTATCACCATTATTACCACCACCTCAGCCACCATCAGCATTATTATAATGAGAATTGTCGACATCTATATCATCTTCATCATCATTGTTCTCATCATCGTCGACCTGATCACCGCCATTACTATCATCATCTTTATATTTGCCATCATCATCAGCACCACCACCACCACCATTATCACCACATACATTATTTTTGTCTTTAGTGACGTTTGAGGTATTGGCGTCGGTGGGGCCGGCGCTGCTAATGGTGATATATCCCTTATCAAGGAGATCAGATTCAAGATGGTTAGAGCCTATCTGCACTAGTTTAACCAGGAGGGATTAGACCTCCCTGCATGGTCACTGTCAGGTGATTATCTCATCAAATTAGCTCTCAATTAACATAAGAAAAGGGGTACCATGGGAGACCAATGGTCACCGATTAGGCATTGTTTGCTATATAGAGGGCGCAAGTACTTACAAGTAGTTCAGTGGGGCTTTTAAGAGCCCTGGCTCAAGTTGGAAGGGCAGGAGGGGGCATACTATTGGCACAAACCTTGATCTTTCGATGTCCGCAGCTAAGCCTGAGGGAGTGTCCAAAGCACCAGATCCCGAAGCCTCTGAATAGAGACTGACGTCCAAACTCCTTACGACGTTTGATCTCCTCCTTAAATTCATCGATGTCACGATCGACCTGGACAATGAGAAGGAAGTCGAAAAGGACGTCGATAAAGATGACATTTACTTTTTACAGACTACCATAGTATCTTTGCTGATCTTAATATTCAAGTAATTTTGATTTTACAGGGCAAGTGAATAAAATTGATACTTCGGCACAGAGCTGGCGCAAAGGTAGAACCAAAACAAATTCCAATGAAGTACAAATACAATCATGACAATGGTACACCCAGTCAGTGGCGGATCCAGGGGAGGGGGGAGTTCGGAGGGCCTGCCCCCCCCCCCCTGGGTAAATAATGTGTATTTTTACATTTTTTTAACGTTAATTTGAACTTTTTTTACCCAATTACCCGTAGAGCCAGATACAGAAATTCTTTTATTCCAAATTCCATGCACATCTATAATGCACAAGTACCACGAAATTCTCAGCTTTAAGCGAAATAATAGCGATTATGATTATTTGTACTATTTCTCTACCCACCCAGAAAATAAACTTGTAGGGATTGGGTTGGAAAGTTTTCCACCTTATCACCTTTGTGGGTCAAAACATCCGTTGTTTAGCTCTGCTGCTGATTTTGTTGTATTTTTCTGTCATGCATTATAATCTGATTGGAAATTATGCCATCTCTCCTTCTCTATCTCTCCCCTTTCCCTTTGGACCCTTACCAACTCTCCCTATATTTCTCTCTTGTATCAGTCCTTCGAGCTTGAGCTCTCTTTTCCTTTCTCTTTCTGCTCGTATTTCGATTGTGATGCTGCTCCTATTCTACTTTCATATTCACATCTATATTCATACCTGAATTTATTCATGATGTGTTTCAAAATCGTATTTAAAATTCTTGCTATGTATAAGTCATATAACTGTCTTGTCATGTTTTGTGCTGAAAACCAGAGGACCGTACCTGCTCATAGACTTTTTCTTATATAGTCTTGACGCCCTTCTGGCTTTCAGCACACGACACCAATGGAAAACAAATTTCTGTATTATATTATGGACAATAAAATCTTGAATCTTGAATCTTGAATCTTGGAATCTTGAATCTTTTTTTGGAGATGCCCCCCCCCCCCCCTGGCGCCCAAGGGGGGAGGGGTGCAATTTTTCAAATTTTCGAGGACCAAAAAAACGATAGGACCGTCCTGTTTTAGTACTCTGTGGATTTTTCTGGGGTATGCTGGTGCTGTTTATGCCCGAAAATCAAATTTTCTAAATTCTTAAAAAAATTAAAACAATAATTTGTGGCATCCACAGTTGGTGTATTATATATCCATTTTATAGAATATTAATTTTGTAAATTAATTATTCTGCGTCATATAAAAACTACTAAGAGGCTACATCGCTGTCCGGGTTAGTCCAGATTCAGTCCGTTTATGTATTGTTTTTTTTTTGTACATATTTTGTATTGTTCAATCATCTACATGTATGTTCTCCTGCCTTACACGCAATCCCGTACAGATCGAGCGACCCTCGAAAATGGTGAGAAGACTGCCTACGGTTTAGCGTTGGGGCTGTTATACCAGGTAAAATCACCCAAATATTGTTAATTTCCTTTCCCCCTTCCACCCCACCTCTCACATTTCTGCTGGTTAAATCCAGTGAAAGAGAAATTCATTTGAATAATTGATCCTACCTCATCAATCTTGTGTCTGAGTTTGGTTTCCTCATCAACCTCCTCATCGTAGATCTCTTGGATGCTCCTCGTCTGTGAGTTCTGCCTCTGACCCCAGGTACCTCGAACTGCGTGAAACTAAATGGTAAGTACAGGAACAACAAGCAAAGTAAATGGTAAATCAATGAGGAGATTAGGGCCCCATTTCACAAAACTTCTCATCATTGACAAATGACAGTTGTTGTTATAAGCTAGTGAAATCCTTGCTTCTGATTGGTTATTAGCAGATTTGCCACTGATATTTGTCATTTGTCATTGCAAAAATGCTTTGTGGAACGGGTCCCAGATGAGGGCAATACTTAAAAAAGTTATAGCATGGCAAAATTAGAGCAGAGCAGAGTAAAGACGAAAATGAACAGAGATTGACAGGTACACGAATTATTTTAACTCGAATAAAGAGCGAAAAGAGAGTCTGTTCTCCCTCTCTGTGTACCACGAAGTGCATGAAACTTTAAGTGGGTTAGGATTAAAATAAAACATTAAACGGTATATTAATGATGAAGATAATATAGGGTTGAAATCATATATGTGCTGAGGAAAGAATATGATGATGAAACAAAAAGCATTTTGAGTGATTCTAGTCTAAGAGTTCTGTCTCTCTCCACCCAGGTGTTAAATGGGTACCCGGTAAGATGCGAAAGCCAATGTGGTATGCTTAGCAATTTCAGTCTAGAAGCTCTTGCTGGAATGCTCCCCAGGGAGTGGAGAAAGTGCATACATTGTGTGCGGGCAAGCCAGAATCCGATGACCGGGGTAATAATGTAAAGCGCTTAGAAACTCGGACATTGCCGATGTATTAAGCGCGATATAAGCAGAAATATTATTAGTATTATTACAAAAGCAAATTAAAATGATAAGCCATGAGAAGATCAGATGAGGACATTGTTAGTTTGTTACAAATAACTTATAGAATTAGAAAGAAAGAATCGCGCAAAAAAAAGGAAAGAAGAAAAATGAACGGGCAAGTAGACGAATAGTTTCATGTTGATACCGAGAGAAAAGGGAGAGTTTGTCACTGTCTCCAAGTATCACAAACTGGATGGAACTGAGAGGTACGGGAATATCAAGCAAAAATAAAACGCTAATATAAAATAAATATATATCAACGAGAAGATAAAAAGAGGGCATTGCTTTTAAAAAAAATGATCCTCTTGAACAAGTAAAACGGTACAAAAAGGAACCAGCGAACATTAGGAACGGAAGACAGATGGAAGCAAACGTAGCACTATTAAGGATGAGTAAAAAAAAAAACATAACTACGAACAGACATGAGCTCTCACCTTTGGTGCAAAGATGATAATAAGCACCAGAGTGACTCCGATCCATGCCATGGTAGCTACGGTAAGGTAGCCAATCTGAGGATTGTTGCCCAGGATGAATGCTAGAGGTGTACTGATCACACTGAATGTCACGGAGCAGTAGACAGCTATCCCGGATACGAAGGTATCATTCAGAGTGACGATCTTTACTGTACGTGTCTCGTAGGACAAAAAGGCACCTGTAAAAAAATTTAAAAAAAAACGTTAATTGGAATTGGCAATATTGTTCGGATTAGAGAAAATGGTGCTAAGGTAGTGACTTCAATGCTAGATAATCTGACAGTTTAGGCGAAAACGGACCATTATTAATGATAACAATTTGAGGAAAACTGATCTGATCGATTCTTTAATTCTCCCAACTGCATTATTATAATTTATTTAAATTAATTTAAGGTGAATGTTAATCGCCACAAAGCAATGAATCGGCTCTATATACTCCAAACATTTAAGTGTTGAAGGATTTTTAAAAGCCTGTCTTATGTCTTATGTTCATGGAAAAACGGTTGGGAGAATTCAAAAATGGTTAGGAGAATTAACTGTTAGATAGTGTCACGCAGTGACGCCTTCAAAGAAATCCATGAATATCTGTATGATTTGAGAATTTGTCAGGATTTAGTTTATGTTAGAGGGTAAGTACAGTAGAAGGAATATAGTAAGTAACATTTCATACAAACAAACTTCATCAACCTTCAACAATGTTACCGATTCTCTTTAAACAAAATAAGCAAACATACAAAGATAGATGACGTGTCATGGAATTTCAGATAAGAGTAAAAATGTAAAAGCGACCAAAATGAAATCGAAATTTCACGATAACTTTTATATGCAACTGAAATTAGAGCGATGGAATGGCTGTGAGTGAATATATGTCTTTACTTTTGGGACGATATGGCAGTTATCATCGAGCAAGATTTTCCTTTAAAGCTTATCAACACTAGTGTGGCTAGGAGGGATGAGACCACCCAGCCAGGTCACTGACAGGTGGCTAATTCTCATCTCCTCAGCTCTCAAATAAAATAAGAAATAGAGGATCATGGGGGACTAACAGGCACCGATTGGGGAAGTTTTCTATATAGAGGGAGCAAGTAGCTACAAGTAGGACAGTGGGGCTTTACACAATGTTCTACTTTACATGACCATAACATCATAAGAGTAAAATGACATCTTCTTTTTTTAAATCATATTAAGCGCTCTGTCATGGCAAACAATAACTCTTAATATTTTTTAAACATTATTATTATTATTTATTCATTTATTCATTTATTTATTTATTTATTTATTTATTTTCATTTTCATTTTCATTTTTTTTTTGGGGGGGGAGGGGGGTGGTTATGACTCTAATTGCTTCTTTATAGTATTTTTTCCTTAAAATAATCTTTTTTGTCATGATGGAGCTTTCTATGTGATGTTTATTACATCTGGTACCTTAATATTAAGTTTTACTTGGGTGAGGTGTCTGACTTTGTCTTCTTCATTTTAGTTGTTGGATGATTAGACTTTATAACTGACAATATCATTAAAATAATGGAAAACAGAAATTACCAAGGAGCAGAGCGAGGCCAAGGAAACCCATGAGTGTTCCTGTGAAATAGAGAGCTTCACCACGGAGACAATACTCAACCTCATAGCGGTACATGGTGTTCGTATCCTCATCATACTGGATAGAGAAGAGGAGAAGAGAGGGAGAGGGGAGGCGGGAGAAAAATAGACAGATGTAAAGAAAACATGACGAGAAAGAGAGATAAATAGACAGAGCAAAAGGGGAAAAGACAGAGAAAAGGGGGAAAAGAAGGAGATAGAGGAGGAAAAGAAGGATAGGGGAACAAAGAAGGAGAGAGAAAACACAAATAGAAAGAGATAAAAAGAAGGAAAAATAGAAGATATATATATTATATAAAGAGAGAGATAGGGAGGAGAGAGAGAGACAGAGAGAGAAAGAGATAGAGAGAACAAGAGCAAAATATAAGCAAACAAAATTTAGATCAAACGCTTTAAATTTATTTGATTATTATCTTTTTACTAGATGTAAATCAATGCACTTTTATTAATTACCATGGTTACTGTTGTTGCATCATTCTAGGCTTTCCAATATGAACAAGAGTATGAATGTAATGACAGAATCATTTCACAGGCCTTAATCATGCTTGTTATATTCATGGAGAGGCCATGAATATCATCAGAATATTATTTTGGACAAAAGGCATCTACACTGTCATGAATAATAGGGGCAGTTGCTCCTGCCCAATCCAATAAACAAATTAGGTTTAAATAATCAGATAATGTTCTCCTAGAATAGGTTACGTTGAGTCTCCATGGAAATGGTTGAGATGATGGAGGGTCGTAAATCCACACCGCTCTAGTTTGGCCATGAGGGATTACACCTCCCTGCAAGGTCACTGACAGGTGGTTATCCCATCAAATCAGCTCTTAATTCACATAAGAAAAAGAGGATCATGGGGGACCAGTGGTTACCGATTAGACATTGTATGCCATATAGAGGGCGCAAGTAGCTATAAGAAGCGCAGTGGGGCTTTAAGTCATCTTACCTCGTTTCCCGATGAGACGACATCTCGTTGAATCGGAAACCAGACGGTCCAGACGATGAGGACAATCACACAGAAGAGAAAGAGAGACATCAGCGACCGAAACATCAATGGAAAATGACCTCCCTGAGAACATGAGAAGATGTTATGCGTGAGATAGAGCGTAGTTATCGGGATTGATTTTGGTAATAAAATGAAATTTCAAAACGAGACTTTATTTTATAAAGGAAAAACATGAAGAGCATGGGTGTCGATCCCGGGGGGGATAGGGGGATATATCCCCCCCCCCAATATTTCAGGTGGGGGGGGGGGGTGGCCTGTACAATCATCCCCCCCCCCCAATAATTCACCCTCAAAAAAAAAATTAAGAGAAAAATTTATGGTGAGAGCCCGATGAGAGTAGTTAATGGTTATTACTCGCAAGATGACCGTCAATATACACATTTTGTTATCTCATGTTCATAATACATACACATATACGAGGTAAATGAGACAACCATATATGAGACAAGAATAAATTGAATTCTCGCTCATACGGCTTCATCAGGAATTGATGAATTTATTCAATTTGTTCAATCAACAGCATCGTAGAAATGCAGTGCGCCAAATGCAAAGACGCAGCGTTAAAAAGCAACGAGCTAAATGTAAAGCGCGAAGCGCAAAAGTAGCAATCTGTAACATCAGACAATCCTGGATAATGTAAACATATATGAACTCTGTGACAAATTCGTGATGAGATCGGAAACAAGGAGAAAGATTTTCGGACATTAGTATGACTTATAAGATAGTTCACTAGTTGTTATGTTGTTTCCGTTCACCCTTTTAAAAATTCACGACATTGTATCTTTATTTTTATTTTTTCTACTCATTTTATTTCCTGATTTTTGGAGAACGAATATTATGTCACAACTTATTTTTCGTTTTATTGAAAAGCTGATGTAGGCCTATGTAACTGGCGTATTTCATACAAAGTGATTTATAAATGTTCGTGATATCACATGATTTTCAACAAAATTCGCGTTTCTCCATTTCTGTTGCAAACTAACACATTCCCAAATAGCCAGGAAGAGCAAATATTTTGTATGGTCACTAATGGGCCTAATTAGTGGCCGTTAACACTAACAGTAGTATACAATTCCTTTCCAGAAGCTATTGCGACAAGCACTGCCGGGAGATAACATGCTACCCTGCCAAGTTCGGGCTGTGCATGCAAAGATTTGCAACCGAACGTTCCATGCGTACATCATATGGGGAAACTGAATTCAGACAAGGATTAATATAGAGAACAGTACAACTAATCGTCTTATTTCTCTAATAATTTAGTGAAACGGCAAAGCTTCCGCGCTTTGCGCGGGAGGTGGGCAACTGAATTCAGACTAGGATTAAGAGTTATAATTAAATGAAACGTCAAAGTACACGATACAACGAATCATCTTCTTTTTCCTATAATTTAATGAAACGTGAAAGCTTCCGCGCTACGCGCGGGATGGGTGAAAATGTTTTAGATGTGGATTAAGAGTGATAATCAAATGAAACGTCAAAGCTTCCACGCTCCGCGCGGGAGGGCGAGGGCGAATTGCACTCAGACAAGGACACGGTACAACGGATCGTCTTCCTACTCTAATGATTTAATGAAACGGTAAAGCTTCCGCGCTCAGCGCTGGATGGGCTAAAATGAATACAGACAACGATTGAGAGTAATAATTTATTGAAACGTCAAAGCTTCCGCGCTTCGCGCGGAAGGGCGGGGCCGAATTGTACTCAGACAAGGACACGATACAACGAATCGTCTTCTTTCTCTAATAATTTAATTCAAAGCTTCCGCATTTCGCGCGGGAGGGAGGAAACTGAATTCAGACAAGGATTAAGAGTCGAGAATGGTACATCGAATCGCCTTCTTTCTTTAATAATCTAATGAACCGTCAGAGCTTCCGCGCTACGCGCGGAAGAAGGGAAACTTGATTCAAACAAGGATTAATGGTTGAGAACGGTCCAACGAATCGTCTTCTTTCTCTAATAAGTTAATGAAACGTCAGAGCTTTCGCGCTTCGCGGGGGAGGGGGGATGCTTCCCTTCCCTGCACCCAACCCCCTAGGCTTTGTGTGCTCACTACCGCCCCCCTAAAATTAAATCCTGGCCACGCCCTTGGGGAGGGGTGCAACCTGCCACACGCTTCTACCTCTTGGTTGCTTTGATCCATTGCCGAAAATATTTTGGCACCTTTCATCCCCCCCAACCACGGATACAAATCGACACCCTTGATGAAGAGGATGACAATTAGCATAGCGGTTGTGCGACATAATGCTCCAGAGCCAACTACTTCAGCACTGGACCCAACAGGCTAACTCTAAATCTAAACCTAAAACACGAATGCTACCCCAACGCTCTATAGTTTTGACGAAAATAAATTCCGGACCAATTAGGGCCAGAACAAATGGCGGATGGCCTGCGAACCAAAACGATTGCGCTTGATTTGGATATCATAGTTATCATCATTGTCATCATTACCATACATGTATTTATAATCTGCCATACCATCATTACCATCAAGGTTATTAACATCATCCTCGTCGCTTATCATCACCACCAGTCCACCACTACCACCACCACCACCATTAACACCACCACCATCACTTGCACCAACGTCATCATAATAATAATTGCCATCACAAGGAGCAGCGGAAAACAACAACAGCAGCATCACCATCAGACATAAATATCTTCACCACCATCATCATCATCATCATCATCATCATCATTATCTTCATCATCATTATCACAATGATTATAAGCATCATCAGTGTAGTCCTCATCGCTATCATATTCATCTTGATAATCTTCATCATCATCTTCGTTGTCCACATTATCGCCATAGTTATCGTCATCACCATGACTATCTGTTTAGAAAACTCACCGGCTTCCACAGATTTGCTTTAGAGACGAGTAGTTTATGAGCTCGATAGATCTTGGCGAAGAGGGCGCCGTAGGCCAAACAGAAACTCAGAGTCATGGTCCAAGATCGAACCTGAAAATTGAAGTAATAGCAGATATCGGTATGGAACAAACGTTCATTTATAAACGTTAACAAATATCTCAACTCTTTCCCAGTCACCTATTCACGCATTTTGCAGTCCTTCAACAAACTCGACCGATCTACCTGTATAATTTAACGATGGAAGGTGCTGCACTGCCTCGACTATCTTTGGTGTGTTGTAAACACCAATGGAAAGCAAATTTCTGTACAAGTAATGGATAAATAAGCTTGAGTGTTGCATGTTTAATTATGTGAAATGAAGTTGCTCTATTTCAGTATTTCTAAATGTTTGGATATCCATGTAAGAGTTGTACAAATCTATATACCAAAGTACCAGTTAAATGACACTTTAAAGCCTATCTGCTCTAGTTTGGCCAGGAAGGATTAGACCTCCATGTATGGTCACTGAAAGATGGTTATCTCATCGAATCAGCTCTCAATTAACATAAGAAAAAGGGGACCATGGGGGACTTAAGGACACTGATTAGGCATTGTTTGATATACAGCGGGCGCAAGTAGCTATAAGTAGTGCAGTGGGGCTTTAATCGAATTAGAAAATGTGAGTGATCGTGATTGCTTAATGTGTCTGACTGAACGAAGTCTGCTTACCGTGCATAGTAAGACCTGGTTCTCAGGGCCGATGACGTCACTGCTTACACCCATTAAGAAGATGGAGACGTACATCCCTATACAGCCAAGCAGACCTAGCACCAGGAATAAGGGAGAAGCTCGGTAGAAGGCTCTAGGTGAAACGAGATAAAACGGGTTTTTGTTTCAGCTTCGCATCAGTTTATAATAAAAGTAAATGAAGAGTACCACAAGTTTCCAAGCCAGGAATTATGTTACGACTCGACAACCTCGACACGACTAGACTGGGCGTAAATAGTCAAATTTGACTGAACGCCATAAATACAACCAACAACAACAGTACAATAAGGTGGTGAAATGCATGCACATTTTCGTAATCGCATACACATCATCAATATGGAGAGTGAGATATGTTACATTCTTGCAGTGGAGAATATCCGTTACTAAAGAAATTAAAGAGTTTAATTCTAAGAGATGAAATTTACACCCTCCCTAAAAGGAAAGATTCTTTCTGATTCGAATCTTCGGTATGAATCTGATGATAAAACATTTTGATTCATTTCATACACCTTCTCGTTATATTGCTTTCTGCTTCTCGCAAGGGAATCTCCCTTCCTCTTTACTACATATTATTATCAATTTTTATAGCAAAAAGAAAAGCAATTAACATTCACCTCTGCGTATACAGGGTATATGGCTGTGTTACTATAATAATAATAAAAAGTATAGGCATTTTTATAGCGCCGTCTATCTAAAAATTCTATTCTGAGGCGCATTAATTATATTACACCGGCTTTAGCCTATAGCTGCCATCCAATCCAATCCAATCCAAAAGATATTTAATATAGCGCCTTTTCCTTGCAGTTACAAAGCGCTGCACACACAGCGCTCCAGCATTTCAAGAAATTATTTCTTGCCAGGTATACCCATTCACCTCACCTGGGTTGTGCGTGGCAAATGAAGATTAATGCTTCGCTACAGGACATTTAGTGCCATGTCTGACATAACTTGGTTCTGGATTGGTAATCTGCAACAAAATTTAGTCTGTCTACTTTATACACAATTTAACAGTGATATTAAAGAAAAAGTTATACACTCTAAAAACTGAAATGTAAAATCACCTGTTAAAAGGGCGGAGGAGTGACCACTAATGGTAGATTAACACTTTGAACGTGCTGGATCATACACTATTATATACTAAAGGTTGAATAAAAGTATCAATCTGATATTTTGAAAGAGTGGTCACTTCTCGGCCTTTTAAATTGATATTCAACAGTTTTGAGAGTGTATTACCTTATATGTTTTCGTTTGACTTACGATCTCTCCCAGAGTATGATAGTAGCTAAAAGACAGATAGAGGCGAACAGTACACCTGCAGCACATAGACCACCAGCTACGTAGAGATAGAGCCTCGGGGTCGTGCTGAACACTATCTTCTCTGTCGTCTCATCTTTTGGAGGGCTGCCACCTGAAGAAAAAAAAAAGTAAAAGCATATTTTGTTTCCAATAGAATGGTTCATACAATTGGACAAATACTAGTAGTCAGTTTGAAACGGATTGTTAAACCCTTTGAAACTGCATGCAAATATTTTATCTACCATATTGTGGATTATATTGGATTTCTTGATGGAATGGGATATATTTCTGTCTATTCGATTGATACATGTTTTAAATATGTTAAATCTGATAAAAGCAGCTTAAACAAAATATGTTTAATCCACAAATGCACAGAGAGAGATGGGGGTGGGGGTGGAGAGGGGGCGTTTGATTTTGGTTTTAATTCGGAGTAAAGGCAGATCAATGGAATCCAGAAATATTTCTTTGTTACATTTTCATGAATACTGCAGATTCAGCTGCATCTAATGAAAAGTTAAGTTCACAATATGATATAATAATAATAATGATAATAATAATAGATTCATAGAGCGCGGAAACTGTCCATATTATATTCTACTGAGCTACAAGAGCTCCTGATATGCTTAGATTTCACAGTTAATTGAAAAGATGTGCTTTCAGATTTGATTTAAAGATATTCACAGCTGGTGATTTCCTGACTTCAAGTACGAACCTGGCCATTGGATATCAGTGATATTCAGATCTGACCCAAGCTGTTCATCACCATGGAATGAATAGTGTCCAACTACAGTCTCCTCACCATCTAATAGAACGACGAAAGAAAAAATTCAATGATCTTAATGATTAACTACCAACCTAATACATATTTCGACTTCAAACCGATATCATGAATATTTGACTTGTTCTCGTTTTGAGTCGGGGTTGTCGTTGAGATGTTTCTGCATTATTATTATCACCCTGATTCTGAATTATACTCTTGCCTTGATATTGGACTACACTGCGAAATGTTATAAAGTTTTCCTTTGAAATTGAAAATGGAATTGGAATTGAAATCAAATTTGAGATTGAGATTGAGTTAAAATTGAAATTGGAAATGGAATTGAAATTGAAATCGAAATTGAAATTGAAATTGAAATTGTGATTGAAATTGAAATTGTGATTGAAATTGATAATGAAATGGAATTCAAATCGAATTTGAGATTGAGATTGAAATCTAAATGGAAATTGGAATCCAAATTAAAATTGAAATTAAAATTAAAATTGAAAATTTGAAAGTGATATTGGTCTATTTACTGACCTATGACCTGACGAATCTCGATTAGTCCTTCACGATCACCAGCATCAGTGAAACTTACAGATCCCTGAAAACATAATTGGAAAACAAGATGGAATGTAGATTTTTAGAGATTTATGTTTCTTAAACCATTCAATCCCAACCGTGGAATTATGCAGAGACATAAATACAGATATAGATAGGGAGGGGAGGCAGGGGGGTCATGTTTAATGAAGACAAATGTTATTAAAGCAAAGATTTCATGTTTAACATGGCTTTTAGGGGTATTAGGATTACCAGAGCCCTGTGAATTTTACCATAAACATGCATAATTATAACATATAAGCATTTTGTAAATTTGCATTTGAAATGATTGCAATACTAGTCATTAGAATCAAAGATATAAATTTGCATTTGAAATGATTGCAATACTAGTCATAAGATTCAAAGATATAAATTTGCTTATTAAAGCAATGTGAACACTTACCGAAAAGCCTTCAAATTGGAGCGTTGAGAGAGTATTGATAAAATGCTCTCTTGTCTCTCGAGTCTCATACGAAAACTCGTGTAGTGGACCAGCAGCATTGCCTGAATCTAAAACAGAAGGTACAAAAGACCGATTTTCTGACGAATGTGTGCATGGTGGGTGTGTGTATTTAATAATATCCTCCAGCGTTTGAGAAGAAACATTTCACATGCCTTGGTCGTGATTTTTGTATGCATGGACAGGCCATAATTATCATCATAATATATTATTTAAGGATGGAAGGGGGTATAATTATAGTCAATATGCACCTATTAGAAGACCGATTCAATCACTTGGGAATATGTTAGTACTTGCAAATGCGAATGTAGAATATAGAGAGTATATGAAATTTAGATCCATAGCTTTTGTATATAATGATATAAAAAAAATTATGATTTCAGTAAGGCAGTAGACAGTTAAAAGAATATATCATTAATTGATTAAAACAAAAATCGAAGAATCTAGAGCGGAGAAATGGTGGCGTAATACTTTAGGAATTGAATATATACCTGCATGGTCAGATGTTTGGTTATTTAAGTTTAAAGGTATAAAATACATTTACTGATCAATTTCAATTTCAAATTCATGTACAATATTTTGGCAATACCAAATAAATTGTTTAAATGGAAAGTAAATGCCACTGAGCAATGTTATTATTGTAATCAACCAGGTGATTGTATGCATATGTTCTTAAAAAGAACAAAGAATTATTCCTTTAGCATGATTTTTTTTTTTCATGTGTATGTATATGACTTGTTTAGCTATTTATTTTGGTTGATTCATACAGGCTATTACATTGTATTATTCAGTGAACCTCATGTAATCTTACATAGCTCATAAAGAAAACCAACCTTATGAACTTACTCCACGTAAATAAATAATTCAATTGAAAATCGTACAATAACCCATCACAACCTAGCGTGATTACATGTAAGTGAACCCGCATTAAACTGGGTCATTTAATTGAGTTATGAATTAAATTAGAAATAGAATCGGTCAGTGCAGGCCTAGGTCGCCTTTAATATATCAACGTATTTGACGATGGAAGGACGATCGATCATTTAGAAACCGGAAGCAGATTCCAAGTGAGGTGCACTTCTTAATTTTATTCCAATTTAAATGGCGCCATGCATGACAGAACGGTAGATACCTCGGTCAGATAATGGAAGCAGACTATTGGCTAGCTCTCCTGTGATCACATTGCAAGATGCAATAGATGAGACACGGTACTTTGCTCGTCCATATCAAGTTCTGACAAGATTAACGTGATTAATTTTGCACTGAACAAATCCGGTGGCTTTGCATGATAATTGTGTTTGTATTTCTTTAAATATCTTTCTTTGATTGTTGGTTAAAAGAGGATGAAGTATATGATTGCATATTACGTTTCCAAGACAAGCTCTGCTTGACTCTGACTTGTTAAATATTTTCAAGTGTTATATCTGTTAAAATGTAAAGTGAAAATCTCGAATCTATCATGTAATTTACCTCATAGGTGTATTACATTTCAACTGTGGACTAAATGGGGCATGTGAGGTAAATAAGACTTAATAGGGGCGTTCACACCTACAGAAAAAGGTCAAATTTAAACATCAAGTTTTGCATCGCGATCTAAAAATCTTCTTTTTTTTGGGGGGGGGGGGGAGTTGATTGTGTGGACTGAAAGGTGTCAGTTGCTGTAAATAGAACATTCGAGAGCAATGGACAAAGTTTTTTACAAATTTAAAAACATACCACTTACATATAGGAGAAAATAGGAAGAACAGATGACTTATATTTACCATCATTTGGTGATTTTGTAGCCTGATCTAAAGCAAGGGCAATGCTCCACATTGCATCATAGGCATCAGATGCATATGACGTCACATGTCCATCATCGAGTCCATCCTGCTCGGCTCGGGTTCGGAACACCTCGGCAATCTCCGCAGATGTCTGGTAGAAATCAGAGAAAGGAAATCGTGATTGAGAAATTAGATGAAATAACGTTCCTGATTACGAATGCATATACAGGTACCAAAATAGACAATTCCAAGGCAAGGAATAGATATTTACAACTCAAACTGTTTTGAGTATATTTGCACTTTTTGATAACCCTGCTTTCCTCTTTAAGGAGAATTTGATAGTTACTCCTCACAACTGCCTGGATAACCTGAGATGAAGATTATGTTTTTCCCTTTTCAAATGTATAAACAATTTAAATTGCGCTATAGCGTTGCCTGTGTTTCCAACTTATGTTCTATGTTTTTCCTCGAAATCTTAAAGTATAAATAACATCAAAGAAAGATTCTTACATGTCCTGAGATGGTTGGTCTATCCGGGTAAAGACTCATCGGGACTGAATCGGTCAAGATATAACCATCCAATGCAGTATAGATCTGTTGAGAAGTGCAGCTAGTACTGTTATCATCTACCTCCCACCACCGAGGACTGTATTTACCAAGTAGGAACCAGGCATAGTTCTTACCGTAAAGCTTCTTCTTGTAAGCCTGTAACAAATTGCGTAAAAGAGATCGAAGGTATTTGTTTAATTGTTCAAATTTCCGAATAGAATCAATGAGACAAACACAGTCAATAAACGAAAATGAAATGGTGAATTCAAATTCAATTTGAAATTCAAATTTTCCAAATTAAATTTTAACTGCGAATTCAAATTTTCCAAATTCAATTTCAACTACGAATTCAATTTCAAACTCAAACTCAAGGCCAGTGGCGTACCTGGGGTACTCCGTCAGGGGGGGCAAGCGACCGAAACAAACAAAAAAGGCGATGCTAATTTTCACTTCTGGCGAGCGAGCGAGCGAGCAAAAAAAAATCTTTAAGTAACATTTGGTATATAAACTGGTATTGTTGCAAGTTGGGGATGGGAACATTCACTTGTTAGCGACGTTAATTTCATTTTTTTTGCAAACTAGTGTAGCGAGCAAGAAAAAAAATCACTTCTTTTTTAATAATTGCCACTTAAACTTTGTTCAATTGTCCCATGCAGGGCGCGGGAACAATATTGTGTTTAGGGTGATTTTATACCCATTTTAGCTAGCGAGCGAAAATACATCTTTCTCTCAATGAATTGCTATATAAAATTTGTTTCACTGTTGCAGGTAGGGGGCGGGCACAATCGTGTTTAAGGAAATGTCAATCCCATTTTGGCGGGCAGGCAACCCCCTACATTTCTCTTTTTAATGATATTGTAGCAGGTTAGTGGTGGGCACATAATTCCACGAGCTAGCGAGCGTAGCGAGCGAAAAAAAAAAATCACTTTTCTTTTATAGGGAAAATATGGTACATAAAACTTGGGTTCATTGTTCCATGTCAGGGACGTGATTATTAAAAGCGGTGTTAATTCTATTTTGGCGAGCGAGCGTAGCGAGCGAGCAAAAAAAAATCACTTCTCTTTATAGGGAAAATATGGTATATAAACTTGGTTTAATTGTTCCATGTCAGGGACGTGATTATTAAAAGCGGTGTTATTTCTATTTTGGCGAGCGAGCATAGCGAGCGAGCAAAATTTTTGTAATGATAATTGGTTCATAAATTTCAGATTTTTTTGTTGCAGGGCAGGGCTTACACAATCATGTCTAAGGTGATGTTAATTCCGTTTTGGCGAGCACGAGCACACCAAAACTTCTTTGAATAACGTTTCGTACATAATTATTAACTGGTTGTTGCAGGTTGGGGCGGGCACGTTAGCGGTGTCAATTCCATTTTGGCGAGCGAGCATAGCGAGCAAGCAAAAAAAATAATTCTCTTTTAATAGAAATTAATAAATAAACTTGTTTTTATTGGTGCAGGTCAGGATGGACGCAATCGCGTTTAACGCGATTCAATTCCTTTTTGGCGAGAGGGCGAAAAAACTCTTCCATTTTTAATGATATTGTTGCAGGTCAAGGGTGGGCACAATTGTTTCCAAAGCAATGTCTATTCATTTTATTCGCGAGCGAGAAAAATGAATTAGTCTCTTTTAGTAACATTTGGTACATAATTGTGTGTTATTGTTGCCGTGGTTGCAGGTCGGGGCCCGTCGGGGCAGGCACAATTTTATTCTAGGCAATACTAATCCTTTTCTTTTTTCAGGGGGACGAGGAAGTGAAAACATTTAATACAAAATAGGCTAGCAAGCAGTTCGCGCCAGCGAAGAGTTTCAAATTTGTTATATCACTTATATTTTCCTATTTTCATTTGTTTTAATTTTTCAGGGCCGTATGCGGAATATTTTTCTGATGGGGGAAGGGGGAAAGATGCGTTAAAAGTTTTCGAAGAATCTCAAAAGCAAAAGGAGTGAAGGGAGTTCGAGCGACCGAACTGGTCATGAGGGTACTTTTGCATTTTCAAAAGTAGAATTGAAGGATTTGGTATAGGCCTACACTACATTTTCAGGAAAAAAACTGTACGATTTCAAAATATCTGGGGTCAACTGCCCTCCCCCCCCCCCCTGGTGCTTACGGCCATGTTCTTTATTTTTTCCCCCATTTTTATTCCTTTCCTTTTCTTTTCCCTTTTTCTTCCTTTTCTCTTCTTCTTCCTTTTTTCTTTCCTTTTTTTCCTTTTTTCTCTTTCTTTTCTTTTTTCTTTCCTTTTCCTTTTTTCTTTTTCTTTCCTTTCCCTTTCTTTTCTTTTCTTTCCCCTTTTTCTTTTTTTTCCCCTGGAGCCCGTCAGGGGGGGCACTCTGCCCCCCTTGCCCCCCCCATAGGTACGCCAGTGCTCAAGGCCAAATTTATATTTTTTCCAGATGTGGTCATACTTACAGAATACTCGAATAGTTAGTATACAGAGCACCGTAATTAAACCCGAGTGCATAGTTACAGGGAAGAAGGTGCATTCAACCCATTAAGCTTTAGTTTGTGGTGGGTACGCTTGAATAAACAATGCAATATAGAAATAAGAAAGGAATTAACCCTAAACCAAGGACATATTAATAGTATGGATAGCTCTACTTAGAGCCAATTATAATTTTTTTACTCTGGTTTTCCTAAAGACTCAGCAAAGGTCTTGTGCGCGTACTTTAAATATTGCCATGTTGGTTTGTTCACCACGTGTTTCTTTCTCTTTGATGATAGTTTTATTGTCATGTAATATTGACAAGAAAAATTAGGAAACTAACATGAATCAACGCTTTTTATGTCCAGTTTGACAATAATAATTTGTTTATTGTTTCATATTTGTGATGTATTTCTAATGAGAAACAAAAATATGACGGGAACAAATTTTAAAAATAGATTTGGGTGAAGTTCGATTAAACTGATCAATCAAATGCAGACATGTATGTTATGGTTTTAAGATTTCAATTCAAGTATAATGTAAGGAAAATAGGTACGAAGTATTATGACAGGCAAGATAATACAATGTAAAATGTGGGGAGCCTTAATAAAAAGCGTAGCTTGTAAATGAATAGGCTACCGTACTGAGTTACATAATATTAGTAGGTCTGAATTAAAAAAGGTATTACAGGAGGCGAAAACGGAGTGTTTACTCTAATTTTCACTCTCCAAACTGAATCCTGTATTTATATACTTCCATTTTCTTGCCCTAATTTTTGTCAGCCTACTCGTTCCTTCTCAAAGCCTTGCAGCGTAGATTCATTTCCTTTCTGCGTCACGCTAAACGCAATTTCCAAAGAAAACATGACATTCACTGCATGTTGCATGATACACACAATGGCGCCTATTCATGTGCTTGTACGCGGTGCTCGGACGAGGGAGTTTTAATTAATTTCATGTATCGAAAAAAAAATGTGCTATTCATGTTTGTTGCATCATACCAAGATGCTGGCGTCATTGACAACCAGTCTGTTCGACAGCGCGGCTACACATTAAATTTTCTACAACATCGTTCTTTACCGGCACACAGCCAGCGACACTCCCTGTCAACTGATGCCGGCATCTTGGTATGCTCCTATGAGGATTGCCATTGCGTACGGGTAGTGAAAATGTAATACAAATATTGCTAAGTATATGAATATTGTTTATTTTTGCTTCATAATAAGTTTCAATTTAATTAAATTACGTTTTTTAATATACACAAGACTATGTCATTGTTGTAACTTCCGGAGCCTATGACCTACAAGCATTGCTTTCTCTTTAGGCTCCATCATATTTCTTCCTTTATTCAACTTAGTCTTATGTATTATTCTTTTTGTTAGCATAAACGCATCCTAAAATGAGTACAAAATGTAACATGCCAAATGTAATGATGTATTATACAACATGTGAAATATGAAAATAAACTGAAACCGAAACTGAAACTGAAACTGAATTGGATAGGGGCTTATGCAATGCAATCTGCACTTAACAGTATTATATCCATCAACAAAAGTTGGGGGAAAGGGGGATCTGTTTGTTGTTGTCGGTTTAATAACGTAATAATCTTTTAGCGATAACATATTGAATAGAAAATATCAACTAACAAGAAAGGGTTTACTTTTCTCTTTCTCTCCCTCTTTCAATTTAACAAGAAAATGAGCTTCAATGCGCTGTTGTAAAGATGGCTAACATTTTAAACTTACGGCAGACATCAAAAGGTTATATTCTGACATTACGACCAAAACTGTTGTAATTCTTGAAATTAGGTAAAGGAACATGATACTCCTCTCTGAAAAAAAATGTGAAAAATAACGGAATGAAGAAGGGAAAAAGAATGATGAAGAAAGCAGTGGGATATAGAGCGAGAGATATATACATGGGGAGGGAGATACAGAGAGAGAGAGAGAGAGAGAGAGAGAGAGAGAGAGAGAGAGCGAGATACACAGAGAGAGATGAGGAAAGGTGGAGAGATAGGGATAAGAAAGGGAGAGTGTCATGTAATGTAATTTTGAGGAAGATGGGGAGAAGCGGGCGGGGGATGACAACGAGAAAGGCACATTGAAAAAGATATTGGAAGAGATGGATGGAGTACAGGTTGGATATAGAGATCCGAGATATATATTAATGAGGCTGGGGATAAAATTGTAAAGAGAGAGAGTGAGAGAGAGAGAGAGGGAGATGTGGAAAGGTGGAGAGATATAAGGGATAAGAAAGGGAGAGTGTCATGTAATGTAATTTTGAGGAAGATGGGGAGAAGCGGACGGGGTGTGACAACGAGAAAGGCACATTGAAATAGATACAGGAAGAGATGGATGGAGTACAGGTTGGATATAGAGACCCGAGAGATATTAAGAAGGCTGGGGATAAAATTGTACAGAGGGAGAGAGAGAGAGAGAGAGAGAGAGAGAGAGAAATAGAGAGAGAGAGAGAGAAGAGAGAGGGAGGGAGAGAGAGAGAGAGAGGGAGAGATGGAGAAGATGAAGACAGAGATACCCTCTCGCTTGAAATCTCTCATCCATTGCTTCCTTCATATTTGATTTCTACAGCTTGTTATCGATTGCCCCTCTCCTGCATTACATCTCATATCCAAGCCATTGATGCAAGAGAGGACCTCTCAATTAGATTAAGAGGTATTACTCCTACATGATACCACAAATCTTATTATACTCCTAACACAATGGCGCCGACACCGAAGTCTCTTCCAATCCAGTCTCTTTCATCCGTGGTTAAAAAAAATTGCCATGCAGAATTTATCAATGGAAAAGTCTTCTCCTTTAGATGATAGTGCAAGAATCCATTTAAAAGCTTTTTCATTTTACAGTTTCAAAATATTGCCTGCTATAATTCATTTCATGCTCTGTTTCATGCCCATTCATATACCTCAATTGATAGAATTTTCACTAAGTGCATTGAAGTTTTTTTCTTCTATTTACGGATGAAACTCTGTAATATGTAGAGAACAGAGAAAAAATAAGGCGGGAATATTGCAATGTTGGCTTGTTTGTTGTTGGTATGAGCATTTTAAAGAACACATTATTCTCTCTCATTTTTTTTTTCTTTCTCATTTTCTTGAATAGGAGAGGAGAGGAGAGGAGGGAAAGACGACTATGAAAAGCTTTTCTACCGACCTCATGTCATTAAGTCATTTAAAATGATTAAAATTAGATAGGGTAAAGGATTACTATACAGAATTAGCGCTCTAAAGCGGAAATGTGAACTTGCCTTGTACTCTCTCTCTCTCTCTCTGAAATAATGTTCACTCTATTTTCACTTTCTTGGGAGTGACGTCAGGGATCACTTGTTTATAGGAGTGAATATCGATTGATTTTAGAGTGCTCTCTAAGAAGAAAAGAGTGAATCTTCACTTCATTTTCACTACATTTTCACTCTCAGGGGAGTGACGTCAGTGATCACTCGATTTTTATTTAGAGATTATAAACGGCCGAGGAATGACAAATTGATTCAAGCATGTTAAAAGTGTTAAATGCACAATTTTGAAAACGCCATACTCCTCGGCCCTTTTAAATGGTGATTTAACATTTTAGCTGTTAGTGTGCGTGCGCGCGCGTGTGGGTAAGCTAATGTGCGTGGGAGTTCTTGCTTGTTTAATTGGCACATTTGACGACACCAAACGAAATGAAATTCATTATTGTACCGTCGCCTACATGATATTACTCCCGATATAAAAACTGAAGCCTCGGTTGTTTTGTAACATTTCTATTTATGGTGGCATTTTGCCCCATGTTCTTGACTAATTCATGCAGGGAATTAATTCGTGCAAACAAAAGGCTTTGACTCTTTGTATTACATGTTTCGTCCTGTTTACGAATTTGTTCATTATTGCAATGAAATTTCACCTTATTAGACAGTCACCTTTGATTAAGGTTTACGATGCCGACTCGGGAGCGTACATGGCATTGAGCTTTCCACCCTGATATTATCAGACTATAAACTGTTTGCTGAAATATTTGGAAAATCGAGAAGAAAAAAAAAGAAAGAGAGAGAGAGAGAGAGAGAGTAGAGAGAGAAGAGAGAGAGAGAGAGAGGGGGAGAAGAGAGAGGGGAGAGAGAGAGAGAGGAGAGAGAGATAAGAGAGAGAGAGGGGGAGAAGAGGGAGAGAGATAGAGAGACAGAGACAGACAGAGTCAGACAGAAGATAGAGAAAGAAAGACCCGAGAAGAGAGAGAGAGAGGGGGGGGGGGGATGATAAAATAGAGAGAGAGAGAGCCAGGCGGCATTGGAGAAGATAAAATGAGAATCAAAGATAGAGAAACGAAGAGCAGAAGAGAATTGGATAGAGAGATAGGGAGATATACAGATATAAAAAATGAGAGATTAAGGGGGAAGGAAAAAATTGAGAGAGAGAGAGAGAGAGAGAGCGTGACAGAAAGGGACAAATTGACAGCAAGAGATATCGATGGATGGATAGATAGAGACGAGCAGAGTAAGAGAGAGAGAGAGAGGTGATGGGGTAAGGGGTGGTGGGGGAGGGTAGGTGGGGGGAGGGGGGTAGTTCTCTTACCTCACAGAACACCTTCCTCGCCATGACCTCCTGAAAGTTGCCGAAAATGATCCATGCTCCCTTCTCCTATATAGCGGGAGGGATGAACAAGAGAAATAGTCAATAATGTGTTTTGTTTAATTACAAACTTATGATGAGACTATGGTGTTTAATAATAATAATAATCGGTATAACGCTGCCCTGGGTGATGCATCGAGAGAAAAAAGGAGATGGGAATATTACATTATTTGGCTTTCAACTGCTTCTTTTTTCAAGGAGAATACAACACAGGTCAACCTCTATCGTGAAGGATTGTTACAACAATAACATTAATAAAAAGCAGCAACAACAACAACAAAATAAACCCATCAAGTTAGGTTTCTCAATATAAAAAAGGAAAGTAATAACATCACAAACAATACTTTTGTCAATTTGGGGTCGGAGATGGAAATCAGCGATCTATTTGCAAAGAGGCTGTTATAGCAATGCATCCACACGCTATACCATACAGCAAATTGAAATAAAATATATCTCCTAACTAACACCCCCCCCCCCCCCAGGAATATGTGATCCACCACTATTTGACCACTACAAGATACATGTATAGCCTTTCGAAGATACTTGTAGGCCTAGTTGAGGTCATGGTCTGAGCGTATAGGTATGAACAGGATGAAGGTGAAGATATTGATTTTAAGACTGCATTTGCCAAATGATTGCAATAACCCAATGAGTACCACAATACACCTGACGGTGCATGGCACTGTACTGCAAATGAAGAAGAGCCGCGCCGGATATTTACGACTCTACGTACATTGATCATGCTTGTGTAACGAGTGGAAGTACATTGCAACAGGAATTTTTAATAATAATGATGATCATAAGAATATTAGTTTTAGACTGTTGTCATGTATATTGCTACTAAAAATGTGGAAGACTATTATTATTATTAATGTTGCAATGTCACATTAAATGAATTACTTTTAAAAAATATCCTCATTATTATTATTACTAAAAATCACTAGAACCAAATGACACCTTCGAACCAATTTGTTTTTCTGTCACACGGTGGAGTATCCTAATATACCAATATATCTACTCGATGATTTTGACAGGCCTAATGGAATCATCAAATAAACTGATTGAAATTTTTCTAGGACACGTAATTGGCTTCTCCATCAGATTCCATGCAGTATCAAGTTTTTTTCCCGTCGCTTTCCAATATAGTACTCAATTTTCACTCATTTTTCAATACTAATTGACGATGGTGTAGTCAATAGCTGCTCGACAGCGATGGTGTTTATACTTTTAAGAAAGTGGGATGGGGGTTTAAGGTCACCCGCTATTATTCTTTACATGCAAAAAGCAATTACTGACATGCTAAGTGGCCGTTTCTATTGAAAACAGGAAAGAGAGAACTTAGGAACGAGTCGGTCTCATATTTTTTTTCCCGACTTGTTTGTTGCTTTGAAGTAGTCATATGATTATGAGAAGCTCACGTACTGCCATTACTTGTCTTGGAAGAAAACATGTTTGTTCTTATACAAATTTTTTAGAAGAAAAAAAAATTATTGTATAATTCGAAAATTTTCCTATTTCGCTTCTATTTAGTTTCTTAACATTCAAGTGCAAGTTCATTGTCGTAAAGCGTTCACGACGAAATTACACGAAGGATCTTAAGTACTTGCTTTTCAAATGAATAAACTAGTTCTATTAGCCATGCATTTTCAGCCCCAAACTTCCTCATATATGATATCATGATATTTTCATATGCGAAATCCTCCTTCTTTTTTGTGATTAACTAATTGGTGAATTAAGAAGATGTTAAGAAGAATCTACTTATGACTGAACAACTTACAAACCAAGAATTTCAAATCAAGAAAATTCTGAAAATTCTGAATTACCTCATACTTGGTGCGATGTCCTGATGTTATTTTAATTTATAAACGATAACACATTCGATTCATTTCTAGAATCTACTTTTATTAAGATCATAACAGGCATACCTTTAGGTTGTCTATCTGTTCCCCTGGTTCTACTGTAAAGCTCTCTGAAGTAGTCAGATTGATTCCATTGGTTGCCAGGAGTTCACTGAACAGATTCACCGCCTGTAACGTGTCGAAACCAAAGCGTACATGAGAACAACAAGAACTCCAACGACAATAACAACAACATCAACAAACAAACAACAAATACAAAATAAACAAATTTTAGTTATTTGACTTCCTATTCAAAGACAAAAATATGTTTTAACAAATTAATCTCATAAATTTGAATTCACTTATAGAATATTTAATTAGTATCTAGTTTGCTTCAGATGCTTAATTGCTTTGCCTAATTCTGTCTAAAGTGTCCGCAACGAGATACAAGGACAAGAACTGTATAGATTGAAAGCTTGAATTAATCTATCTTGACATACAGAACAGATTCATAATAATATCTAAATAATTGAGACGATCGTATATATTTGAACTTGTATACTTATTTTCTTCCTAACATAATTCCATTCAGGTTTTTTGCAAATATTATTTATTATTATTATGGTTATTATAATTGTTACATGCACTATCATTATTAGTGTCGTTATCTGTCGTATTCTAATAATTATTTGTCTCATCCTTGTTATTATTATCACTTTAAAAAATATATATTATCATCATTATCATTATTATTCATAGGGCAGAAACGAAATCAACAAAAAGCGGAATACAAACAACCATACTGCTTGGAGTGAGTCACGTAGATGCCGGGAGAAGAAACAAAATTAACTAAATAACAATAACCCGAATTACACCATTGACATTGACGCTTCAGAAAACTCGGCCACGCAGTAGGTTGAAGGATTATGGATTTCATATTCCATAGTTCGCTTTCGTAAGCATAATATATTCATGGAATACTGATTATGAATACAATCCCAAGAAAAGCCTTGAAAAGGCATAGACCTGGTAGGCAACGTATCCAGATACCGTGCTTATACCTTTCGAGGGACTATCATTTAACCTCTATTGAATTCAAATACCATAATTGTATTTTTCCCCATTTTTCCCTTATATTAACAAAAAGTAAATTAATAAATGTATACACAATTACACAAATAGATATATTTTGACACAAGGAAAAGGGGCACATTTCTCTCTAAGCAAAGGCTTGTGTCGGGTACGCTTTAAAAAGCAACACAATATGTATATAATAAGGATGGTTGAGGAGAAAAGAGGAAGAAAGGGAAAGAGTGGGGAAAGGAATTTAGATTAAAATGGTTGGAAAATGTATGATATTTGAACGAGCCTGCTGTATGAACGAGCCTGCTGTACTCCCTTAAATTAACCACTCTGTATTAATTACCGTAGAGTAAGCTTCCTGATTCTCGTGAAGTGTGGCGACTCTTTGCCATCCATAGTGCTTTATTATCGCCAATCGGGCGTAATTGTAGAGAGAATCGGCGACATTCGTACGGAAGAATGACATGTAAGCTTCACGGTTGGATAAAGCTGGACTGGATGCAGAATAAGACACCTAGAGGAGAACAAAAAAATGATCATCATTAAGATAGATATCAACACATTAATATCTAGAATTTGATCGCTTGATTCAGATTCGAGTAACTTGATTATGAATTTAATCATCGTCATCATCACCACTACCGCAATCATTATCATCGTCATCATTATCATCGTTATCATCATCATCGTTATCATCATCATAATCACCATCATCGTAATGGTCATTGCAAAATTCATCGACATCATCATCCTCATCATTACCATCATCATCCTCTACATCACCACTTTCATCATCAACCCCATCAACACAATCATCCTCCTCCTCATCATCATCATCATCATTACAATTATCACTATCACCATTATGATCGATATCATATAGAAGAATAATTACTATAATGGTCCTGAGATGGATTCGTAAACATTATTGTTATAGTGGGTAGGGCTAAAGGGCTTACACTCTTATTTGTCGTGGTTTTATAACTATGAAATCATACAACACAACTACATAATCGACAAATCTAGAGCAATATATCATTTTGTGTAACTTTTTGTGGTAAGTATAGGTTAATTAAAATATCTAAATCCGTAACACTCGATAACACTTAATACCTGAGAAGCATTCATCCTTTTACTTAAAGTAGATATTCATTGATTTTAAAAACTAACTTCATTTTCATTATTGCAAAGTTGAAACTTTGATTCGACAAGGTTTTTAAAATTCAATGCTTGGAAACATTCGAAGTAATGATTATTATAAATTACAAAACGCTTAAATACAGCCCCGGCATAGCACCTAAATAGCTCTCCGAACGCTGCTGAGATGTGTGAGATCACAGTATGGACATGATTTGCACAAGCAGACGATGTCCCATGACATCTCACACATTTTCAGTGCCCGTGTTTTCAACTTCTCTTGAGTTCTTTCTCTTTCTTTACTACAGTCAGGCTAAATTTATAATCTATTGCCTCACTCTAAACCCCGCACATGGTTTTATTTTGATGACAAATGCAGCGATACAAAAATAAAGGAATCTGCCGCTTGTAAACAAAATAAGACGCCATTGTATATTCAGCTGCACACACCGCGGTATGTTCGGCGTTTCAAGAAGGAACAAATGCCGTCCTTAATATCATTCCGGGTTTTTTTTTCAATGTGAAAGTCTGGTTTCTTTGATTGTTAATTAACCCCTATATCCTATGTATTTACAAGCAAAAACTTTTAGTTATCAGAATCGGGTCATATCCCCTTTTTAATGGTTTGACATGCCATTACATTTAGATACACTAAACTCATTATAATTTGACAAATATAAGCTTTGCAATTATGTTTATTCTTTATGGGATGTCGTCTGCTTGGGCAGTATTGGTCCATATAGTGACGTCATTAAAACATCGTTATTTTTCCGGCGAACCTCTCGTATATCCCAGCTGCTATGGAGGTGGTTGTATTTGTATTATTAGAAATCACCCGATATTTTATTTGACCTTACCAGCTTACCAGTTTCTAGTGATATATTAGTTGACATATTTGTGATTTTCTTTGAATTTCACCTTTAAAGTCCATTGATATGATGGAAATAGGAGTATAAGCCGGTAGCTAATTAATGATTATATGAGCTGATCATCTGCTTAATTATGATATGCCGACCTTAGAAGATGAAAAGAACAGAAACCAGTGATATAACACACCCACGTAAGAAACCTTTATTGTACAGTTCGAGCTCGTCATCTATTTAAATTTATTGAGTAATATCTGCTGCATCGCTGCAGAGATCAATTCGTCACGTTTTTGTCGTTCGAAGTGGCACTTTAATTGCGGAGTTCCCCCTATTTCTTGACATTATCCAAATTAGATATAAGTATGATAATGCAAATCAAACAATGCGTGTCAAATATCTGTAGATCTTATTTGCTTTAAAAGAGAAAAATGAAACGCCGTTGTGGAAAAGGTTAAAACTTAACTTGTGAATTTTCTCATTTTTTTTGGTCCGATGATATAGATTTAATTTAATTCAATTCCTTCAGCTGACATAACATCATAATAAAGGCATAATAAGGACGCTGTTACAAGATAAACAAAGCATAAGTATTTAAAACAAAAAAATCCAAGCAAAGCATTAATAATAAAAAACCATAAAGCAACATTTTTTCTTTCAATCGCATCATAAATGCATTATGTATCCTGATATATTTACGGTATATGGTATTTATTTTGGAAATCACAATGCACAAATGATAAATACAAAATAAATAGTTCATGTACAATCAAGAATATATTGCATGGCTGGATTGTCCGCTCAACTTTGTCAACATGACAAAACTATTCTTCCTTGGGGTCTAGAACTTAAGAAAGATTTATAACCCTTCCTTTCTTCCCACTGATGTTTTGTCATTTCATCATTTTCAATGTGTAACACTCGAATATAGAAATATTTCTATTTTGTCTACCTTTTATTTTCATGGTTCTTCTGTGATTTTAAACACAACAATATAGTTTCTATTATAGTACGTATTTTTACAATGTGTGACCAAAACAAATTTCCATGAATTCTTGTTAATTTGGATGAATAAAAAGAATTGAATTGAATTGAATTGAAATGAAATGCTGGAAATACCTTATAGTTATACAATACGACTTGTCTATATAGACAACCTATAGGGAAACAAAAAATGTGGTATTCGTAGACAGATGGTTTATGTATAAAGGTGGTCACTACAGCATGTATAACATTCACAAATTATTTTTGGATGACACATGATACAGTGAAATGAATAATTCCCATTTATTTCAACAGTCCTGATGACATTTTTCAACCCTCAAGATAATTTTACCTGTACAATATTCCAGAGATCTGCTGCCAGTGATACCGTCTTGGCCACCTCAGAGCATCCTGATCCTAGTATCATGATGTAGGTCGTGTTAGAATTCACTGCCTCAAACAACAGTCTGGTCCCAACACCAGGATGACACTGTCCAAATCAAAAGTGAAAATAGAATAAAACTAGAAATATAGATGTTGACTTGGTCAAAGTTTTAGAACTAAAAATCGTTGCACGAGCAATAAAATGATTGACAGTGTGACTTTAAAAAAGGTCGTCTTCGAAATAATGTGAATTATTAAAATTATCAATAGGCCAAATCCCTGACATGAAATGTTTCTTGATCGAATATTGATTGTTTGGAATATTTTGATACTGGTTATTGTTTTATATTCTATATTTTGGAAGTTCATGTCATTGATATTTGAATATACATAACCCTTTTGTTATGTTCACATCAGTCATAATTTTATATCTATTTCTCTCTCTCTCTCTATCAATCCAACCCTTTGGTTGCTACGAATAAATAAACGAATATAATTATATATCTCTCTCTTTCTCAGAGTATTATTATCTCTGTTTCTCCCTTCCCCCCCCCCTCTCTCTCTCTCTCTCTCTCTCTCTCACTCACGAGTCGGTTCGTGCTGTCGCCTTTCTCCCTTTTCATTAAATATCCTAACCTGATTACCATGCTTTAAACAAAACAAAAAATGATCGATGTATACCTCCTCGAGATAGTATTTTTTTAAGATGATGACGAGGATCCTAATCAAATGATTGGTTGAAAGCGTACACGTGACAAGTCAATTTTTGGCCTAACGCGTAATTTGGATAATGACCGGTAATTATCCAATGGTAATGGCCGGTCATTATCAAAATCATGATATGAAACATCATTTTATAAATTAAATAAAACATATTTTCATAAAACAAATAATACAAAACATTTTGTTCGGGCATATCGCCTCGGGCGTGTTAGACTATTCCATAGGTACCTCGTGTGGGTAATTTTACTAATGCCTGACAAAATATGGCATTGCAGTGAATAGGATGGAGTATGATAGTGATATCATCATCATCGTCGTCGTCATCATCATCATCATCATCCTCACCTGTATGGTCAATATCCTCCTCCTTATAATTTGTATTTTCAATTACTTATGCATTCTGCTTAATAAATGTGTTAATCTATTTCATGAGTTTTGTCTGGGGCTGTCATTATTATCAAGCAATCTGCTTTCAATGACAGTCCTTTAATTGCATAATGTTTGATGAAATTTAGTATTTTGACAGTTTATCATTTCGTTTTTTGAAAATAACAATTGTTATATATATTTGCTTATTTATGATTCACTGTCAGAAAATGGTATTGTATTTATAATAAAATTGTTATAAAAAAAAAACTGTGTACTTATAATTATGAATGCAGAAGAAAATCAAATCAAATCAAAAATCAATCAAATATGATAAAGCTACGTCACGTGATGATCCTGAGAGAACTGAAAAGAGTGATTTCTTAAAAAAACTACTCAACCATTGTAAACCATTGTCTTAGGTTTACATGTATTTACATTTATATAATAAGTTTGCAATGCGCTGTGATACAAGTCCGACTCATTTTTTGTAAGTATAATTGAATAAATAAAGAAAATAATCAAACGAATCGGTGAAAGTTTCATCGATATCGGACGAACAATAAGAAAGTAAATGGACTCTTACAGTTTCCCATTATTTCATGAAACAGCGATGTATCATAAAGGCTGTATGCAAATTAGCGAATTGATTATGTTATCCCTTCAATCTTACCCATATATTTTGTTTATGAAATTTTAAGTTAATATTTTGTAGTTGACACACCTGTATAATTGTTTCCCTTTCTATTACAATAACTCACTGTAATGGTGATTTTTCACATATTCCATGAGGATCCAAGCGATGTTTTACATTTCCAGAGCAGAAAAGAGATATTTTTGTTTGATAAATGTATGTACAAATGGATAGTCAGGCGGAAAATCAAAAAGAATAAATAATGTGTCATTATAGCGATGCAATGTTTTGGATGAGTCCTAGCTGACCTTTATCGGGGAAGCTTGACGGAGGCAGTGATGGTGGTGTGATATCAAAAAATATGGAGCGGTAGCTGACATCAGTCGTCAACTAGCTGCGCCTGTCGTCAGCAGGGGGTGGATCTAGCTTTTTGCCAAGGGGGTGGGGGGGAGTTGACCCCCCAAAAATATCAAAAAATCGCGCCGTTTTACTGTTTTCCTTTTTTTTTTTCCTTTTTCACTTGGCCGCCAAAGGGGGGGGGGGTGTAAAAAGCAGACCCCCCCCTAGATCTGCCCCTGTTCAGCATTAGCCACAAAACTATGTCCCAATTTGAAATAAATTATAGAGTCTCCTCCTGTCAGTTTTATAGCGATGTTTTACCTCATAAAGATTAGTTTCTTTGTCTTATTCACTCTCTACAGTCCCATCCTATCATTCCCAGGCTGTAAACAACTTTTCCGCTTGCACATAATGATGGGCATGGTTTTATTTGTCCTATGAATATTATACCCAATATTTGCATATTGAAAACTCTGTTTACTGCTAAGTGTTATATGTATATATGTTATTGTTCCAAATATACATGTATGTGTGTTTTTGTGGTATCAGCGCTCTGATCAGTATTCTGTAAAAGTGCTTAATAAGAATAATATTACCATTTATTAATTAATTCATATAAAAAGGGCCCTACAACTTAAACGGGGGAATACAAAAACTTCTTTTTTCCCTTTCTTTAATTTTGTTTCATGGGGTCCTCGAGACAGGAGGCCTTCAGCTCCAAAGCCCTCCCCGGATACGCTTGTGTATATCCACTATGATCTAAATCCTAATTTAATGTAACGGCTTTCTCGAACATCCACCATTGAATTATAATTGAGTTATCAGCAGAAAAGTATATCTATAATTCAATCAGCAATGATCAACCATACGTGTTCTGAAGAAAATAATATGACCTTGAGGTAAACTGCTTATATAGTTCACCTCATTAATATTTCAATAGGAATGAATATTAATAGTAGTAGATCAGTGGGCTGGTGTATAATTTCCAGATTTACGGATCGTACAAGCCTACCTTTTTCATGAAATGGCATGACATGTTATTCTACAGTTTTAACGTTATCAAAAACACCGAGTGTTACTAAAACGTTTATAAGGCCAAAAGGTAAAAACTGAAAAGAATCATCTTCAAAGTCTGTGTGTGTTCATTCTTTAAACTGTATAATAGTTGCAACTTGTCTGTGATAAAAACATTGTTATCTTTTACATGTGAAGTCAATTCAAATGGATTGTAAAATTGAAAATGATTTGTTGTATTATATTCTTTTTCATGTGATGTTAACTCCAATGAATTGTGAAATTTTGAACATGCGTAAATAAATAAATAATAAACTCTACAAATAAACGAACGAAGATAATTACATAAAAAATAACAACGATATATGAAGAAGAAAAAAGGGTTTTGGGGTGAATTCTTTTCACGGTATAATGTGTGTAAATGCCAACGTCGCAAAGCAAAATTGAATATGTCTCTCTTCGGTTTTACACTAAGCAAAAGTGAAAGAGGAAAACAATTCCATTATCATTATATTATGATTCAGCATCTGAATTGAATAAAGGAGCTTCCATTATAAAAGATAAAATTGAGTTCTGGTCATGCGATTGCATTGTGAAAGAAAAAGGTGTGGAATGGATCAGAAAACGTTGATCATGTAGCATGCAAGTATTGGTGTGTACTGCAAGGTTCTGGAGTCATCAAAATCATAACAAATCTGACCGAGTCTTGGTAAAGTAACAAGCACTGTACACAGAAAGATGTATATGGGACTACACAAATGGTGTCGGGGCTACTAACCTTGATTTCTCAGCCAGTATACATTTTCTACCAAAATTGTATGGCAAATGACATTTATTTGTACTCTTGAACATTCAGTGTTAATTTCGTTTGATTCTGTGAGAATTCATTTTCTTTTTCACCAGAACTCAAGTTTACCTTTAAGCTATCTTTTACTCCATATCACGCTACCCCTTAAAAGCAAAAACCATTAAGGCGTGTAGTTCGTGAGAGCATGCATACACTGCAAAAACAGTGGTGTTAAATTCAACACCATAGGTGTTAATATTAACACCATTCCGGTATCTATATCGGAAAACACCAGTTGGTGTTATTTAACACCAAGGTCTGGATTTGAATGATTCAATTCTACTCTTGGTGTTGCAATTCAATTCTATTTTTGGTGTTAATATAAAATCCTACACCATTTTCTGGTGTAACAATGAATCTGATTTCTGGTGTTATTTAACACCACCGCCTGGAATGAAATAATTTTAATTCTACTCTTGGTGTTGCACTTCAATTCTATTGTTGGTGTTATTTTACACCAATTCTAGAATTAAATAGTATAATTCTGCTCTTGGTGTTGCAATCCAATTCTATTTATGGTGTTAATATAAAATCCAGCACCATTCTTCGGTGTTGCAATAAATCCTATTTTTGGTGTTATATAACACTAAAGGTCTACTACTTTTCTACTCTTGGTATTGCAATTCAATGCTAGTCTCAGTGTTTAAAAAACTCAACACACCATTCTTTCAACACCAACAATTCATTCCAGCTCACTCCATCTTAACACATGCACAGAAAATATTCAAATACACACAAGAAGTGAAAAGAAACAATTTTTTTTCGTAAACAAAAACACATGGTGCTTGTTTAATCAATAAATTAAACAACTTGTTTTCATTCATGTTGAAATCAATGATGCTTAGCGTTTTTATCTTGTATGGTTCAACATTAAATCCTTTTGTCATGTATTCAAAATCTGTGACTCATTTGTCTGAATACAACAAAACACACTTTTTTAAATCATTCAAAATCTGTTATTATGAATCCACCCTTATAAGTAAAAAAAAAAGATGAAACAAGTAACTAAAAATCATTCAAAATCTGTTATTATGAATCCACCCTTATAAGTAAAAAAAAAAAAAGGATGAAACAAGTAACTAAAAATTTTCCAATATAAAAACTTTAAACAATGTCATAATTCCTTTCAAGGAATGAAAAATCAAAGTCGTTTCTAATAAATAGAAACTAAACA